GCAAAGCGTGTATCGGAGGTGGGATACGAACCCACGCCCACATCGCGAACCATTAAAGTTGTTTACAAATCAAAAATCAACGAAATAAAGTAATATCATATTACCCATCAGGATTTATTTTTTCCTTATCCAAGGAAAAACGGATATGAAGTTTTTGATGTGTATTAAACTATTATTGTAATATTGTACTTGTATGCAACTGAACAGAAACTTTGAGAGAAAGTGAATTGATGATAGTCTGTTAACTTTCTAGTGAATTATCCCCACCGGCACTAATTTCATTTCCTTTCATTCTGCAGCTGCTGATTTCCACTCATCATCTTGGTGCGAAGTAAAATAATTCGTATGATATACCCTGGTATTTTCTGCTCATAAATATAAGTAGTACACACAGTAATGTCTTCAGAAGAGTAGTGATAACTCATTGTCATGCCACCTTAAGTTTCGCTGTGCAAATGGTAAAGAAAGCGTCGAAGACTAAGTAGTCTAAAGTTGATACTAAGAAGAGGACGAGTGGATGAACTACACGACCTGCATCTACGATGTCATGCGATAAGTCTATCTCAACACCGGCATTCCATCGAGTACTATGTTAACCGTGCATTTTTTTTCCTAAATGAAATCTCTGAAAGGATTTCAACTTCAGTTAGAAACTTATTACATTACAACAAGAGGTACGTGGGTCTAATATAGGAGGTAAAGACTGCGATTCGTCTCTTGTCGCCATTCTAAACACACAGTAATGCTAGTTGCAAAGAGAGACGCCATCACAAGATTGATCTACAGCTGGTACTATTGGCATAAGGATCCATAATATAGGGCAGGAAAAGTAAATTAACGTCCCAGCTGATTTATAGTAGGGAACCACCACAGCTCTTCATACACCCTAAAACTTGACTTTCAAGTACCAGTACCAAAAGACAATTATAGGTGCAAGCGGGAACAAGCTATCCAGAATGTAGACGCTGAAAAAACCATTTAGGAATAGACAAATGAGAGAAATTGCAGGAAATGGACCAGGATATGGAACGCTACTATCAAGGTAGGAAGGGTGATACCTGGTCACATCAGGAAGCGAAGCTGTGTATTCCAATAAGAAAGTAGATACAGCGAAAAAGAAAAATATCAGTCAGCTGCAACAGTGTGCACAAGGACATCCAGAAGAAAAACTAGAGAAAGAGTCATCGTAAAACGATCGACGTGGCTATACGAACAACTTCATGACAGGAAGAGAGCTTGAAGTAGACAGAGTGATGTCTTCAAAAAGACAATAACAATATGTGCATCAGTGGGAAACCCAATCAAGAAGACACACGAGCTTATAACTCTGAAAGGAGACTAACAACCTACGGACAATGAGAAATAAACATCTGCAATACACAATGGATGACATGATTTTTAAATATTGGAATCAATGCAAAGTTAACCACTCTGTTAATGACGAATAAAATTGATCACAATAACCAACAGATCTGCACCCACTAGTTCTTTTTACTACTATCACTTCAAAATCTTCCGGATAATACTTTCAGAACAATAAGTAGATATTTATGAACTTCTAGCTAGCATGTCAAATGCTGGTTTGATGATATTTCACTAAATACAATTTGAACAACAAGTAGCTACCAACAGAAGTTATGAAATAGATGAACTTTACACTACTTTTAACAAAGATATAATTGGGATTTACGATTATTAGGGATTTTGAGTAATTTCGGGACATGCAATCTGAAGCTAATACATTGTAGTTATAATGAGAAGTCGTGATCGACGAGGTTTATCATATTAGTTATGAAGCCAGGGCTGATCGATGACATCGGATGGCGATAGAGCAATATTGAGAATTGACAAACATTAGGATTCTGATTAACCGTCTGAATTTTAGCGTAAAAATATGCACAGTAGTATAACTGTCCTAGCCGCTAAACTCTATATACCACATAAAGATAGAGATAAAGGAAAAGTCTAAAAAAATTACGATGAACAGGAATGTACCGGAGATAGAATAACTTAGTGGAGAGACATGAGGACCTTATGGATGTGGGATAATACAAAGACCGAATTCATCTTCGCCATTGAGAACAGGTTTGTGCCACCAACAGTCTACAGTTATTAGATTTAAGCATCTCTCAGACTTAAGCGAGACAGTTTACACCTCCCTGCTTAGCTCAAAACAACAGTAAAGGACCCCACTGATTTGTGCCAGGTTTTGATCCAATCACCCGTAACTCTTTCTCAGCCTAATCTCATGCCAGCTAGCATAGCCCAACAAGGAAGGTGGTGGGTTGGCAGGCATATCACACGTCCCAGCCATCTCGATCGATGGAGTTATAATTCACGAGTGGCTGGATCTCAATTCAATAGCTGAAGTGGTCAACCGGGTTGTCACTTAACCTGAAGGTAAAGGATTCGATACCTGACAGGATCATGGTTGTAAATTGTTGAAGAGTCAAAAACTAGGATGGAACAGCTGTTCAGTGCCTCTTCATCCTCAATGATTCTCTGAGCGATGTCGAACAATGAAGGAATCTCTTTCGAAAAATATGATTGTTAGGTGGACTCTAAGGCACTTTCCAAACAAACAGTGCACAATTCCAAAACTCCCTTGTCAGTAATGAAAACAAATTTAACGATAAATCATCTGCTTGAGCACTGCATTACTCTAGAATATACAATTTATACAGGTAAATATTTTGTGGAAGTCAGTACGATATTAACAGTAGTTAAGTCAATTTGAGAGATTAGGAAGAGAGACGTTTCTTTAAAAGCTTCATACAATTCTTCCCATTAAAAAAATTTCAATCTTGCACTGCCCTAGTGATAACAAAGCATATAAATGTTACTACGTCATCTTCTATCTTGTTTAGAAACCTTGATCTTTTCGTCTAAACATGACCCGTCTTATCCCCCTTTCTTTTGTTCCCCCTTAGTTTTTCCCGGGCTACTGAAGAAAGACTATAACATATTACGCAGGATGTTAAAGGTTGTCAGCAGGGTAAGCAACGTGCCATTTAACCAGCTTATTAATATTCTGGTCGACAGGCACATGGACTCACTTGAAAAATGGGCCAAATCCATTTTATCTAACTCACACCACCCTCTTCACTCACAACTCTCCCCTTGCATCTCATCAGGCCGAACGAGAAGCCTATATAGAAAACTATATGCCCGCAACAGCAAGTACAAAAACTCAACCATACCCTACTTAGCTCGTGTTCTGTGTGATAAAGAAAGCATTAAGCGTGACACCTATAATTCATTAAATGGTCAGTAGAACAACTGGACCTCATCTTTCCAACTCATATCATTTATAGGTACAACATTTTCTTTCTTTTCCTTTTGTCTCTCTCTCAGTCTTTTTTTCCGTTATGTGATGCTTTGTTTCCTTCTTCTGCTTACGCCAGTAAATATGATAGCACCTACTTTTCTAACACCTTCAAACACTGTTCAACTTTGGCTTTGCTACCGATATGCCAATATGTTGTTGTCATAATGAACTGAGATTTCCTTAATCTATGTAGAATTCTATTTATTGATAATGTACTAACTGGATGCAATACTGTAGTAAAAAAAATGCTGAAAATTCCATTCTGTATCACAAGTACTGTTTTGGAATGAAGCAAATTATTATTATTATTATAAAAACGTGTCTTTCTGTGGTTACGTAACCTATTACTTTTTATACTCTTTCTAGTTAAACTTTGTTTCTGTCCACAAAACATCTGTTGAACTCTGTCTGTCCTCTTGTTTCTAAGTTTAGTCATGCAGTTCTTCTATAAAGAGTCGATCCTTTTCACTCTTAATTATTTAACAGCTTACATTACTCCTAGCTAATGTTACTCTTAGTTCCAATCACTGTAAAAAAAAGTATGTTCAGATCTTTAATTCAATTTATAATTTTGGTATTTTGATAGCATTATTAGAAGACGGAGATTATCTGAAAAATGTGATGTATTAGCGCTATACATTTCGAACAATCTGATCACACATTTACTTGTCAAGTCAATATATATGGAAAAGTTAAATTAAACAAGGTGACAAAAAAAAAGAATTAAGAATAATTAACACAAACGTTTGGTAATCCAATCAAATAAGGATTACCAAGGTAGGTTAAGAGTAATAACAAACTGTTTTTGAATACACAAGGGGGGCTTAAGTTTATGAATGGCTATAGCCTCAGCGTATTTCAGTAAACGTCCTTGACCGTTTTTATAGATGACCTTAAAGGCTGAGTTAACATCAACCTTATGGTTCATCTCGATTAAATGTTTAGCTATAGACGAAGTTGGTAGTCTGACACCTGCATCTATGGGCTTGTTACAATTCATCTGTTTTCCTAACCACTTTGGGATATGCTCTCCCACCCTCACGTGCAACGCGCGATTACTCCTCCCTATGTATGTATGTCCACACACACACGAAAATTGGTAAATTGTATAGGATGTGATATAATCACTTGTGCACTTTTGAGGTTTCCAGTGAAGCATATTTTTAGCCTTTTCGACAATTACCAGCTGGGCTGCATAGTAGGTTCTACGGATGATGGAATTCAACCTTTGTCTCAAAATCCTACTATTTATTTCTCCATTATATGGTAATTTGATGAAAACCTTTTTCTTAGGGACGGTATGGATTGTAGGTTTAGAGGCTAGTTGACTTCTACACCTGTTTAAAAACTTCAAAGGATATCCGTTTTTGTCACCTTGTTTAATTTAACTTTTCCATATATATTGACTTGACAAGTAAATGTGTGATCAGATTGTTCGAAATGTATAGCGCTAATACATCACATTTTTCAGATAATCTCCGTCTTCTAATAATGCTATCAAAATTTATAAAAGGGACTAACTGTTTTAAATTTTGGTATTGTTCAGGTTGTAACCAGTTGAGAAGAATCCGTGCAATAAATAAAAAATAATGAGCTGAGATTATCCGAGTACATTTGTCATTCTCGCTTTACTAAAAGTTAAGTCATTGATGCCAACAACAAAAATCAAATGAACAATGATCAGAGGAATCATGAGTAAAATAATTTAAAAATCGAAATGGTTCAAGATTTCAAAATGCTTCTGTAATGAACAATCCTCCTGATACTTTTCCAAATCGTCAACCAATGATCCACCATTTTTGTAAGTATCAGGCATAAAATGCAGCTTCTTTGTGAAAGGTAAATTACACTCAGACAAAATATTTACAAATTTTTGAAAATCAGCTGATTTCTGAGGTCTGGAACGGTTCAGTATCTAAAAAACCAAAAGAAATAAAACAACATGATGTTAACATCGAATATAGAGAAGCAATGTTAGTGAGAACAAATAAGGAATATGTACCTATTGCCAGTTCCATTCTAAAATAATAACCATTAGGATCTTCAAAACACTAATTAGTGACCTATAAAAACGTAAATTAACATTTTCTATAGTTTGGTTTGTAAGGGTTAGATATGTTTTAGGGGTTGATCATGGACTGATATCAGTTAGAGAACCATTGAAAACCAGGGAGTACTGGACAGCTGCTGTTTCACCCTAGTTTGGGAATCATCGGCAGTACGCACCCACTGGGATTCGAACCAAACTATAGAAAATTAATCTGATGCTCGCTAGTGACTTGCTACAGGATGGAGTTTCCTGGAGTTCTAGTGAGAAGTCGTGACCAGGGAGGTCCAATTAGATGTCACGTGTGTGGATGGATGTCCCACCAACGACAATGGTTGGGGTCGCGCTAAATCACGAATAGGTAGAAGTTAGAATTCATAGACTGGTCATTGGATCGGGTCCCAGTGGCTGAATGGTATAGGAGCTTGCCTTGTAACCGGAAGGTCCTGGGTTCGAACCCCAGTGGGTGCGTACTCCCGATGATTCCCAAACTAGGATGAAACAGCAGCTGTCCAGTACTCCCTGGTTTTCAATGGTTCCCTAACTGATATCAGTCCGTGATCAACTCGTAAATAAACAACCAATCACAACAATGTTTGTCAGGAGATACGATTATATCATTCATGAAGAATTCATACCAGTTCACTTCATATTAAAGCTTCCGCTGAAAAAGTTGTCTAGAAGGAGAATGAAAGCTCTGAAATAAAATCAACCAACTCAGAGAACATAAACAAATCAAAATCACCCGCTTGAGCTGCAGATCTTCTCTATCATAAAACCATTCATCTAGTCTTATCACGGATAATGAAATTTGACGAATACGTCATGAAAAGCATTTCTAACAGGCTACTGCAAACCTTTGACAACAGCCGCCGTCGCGGTTCCAAACTGAAGATCAGATGGCCGGAAGGAATTAGCAGCAAGAAACTCTGAGAACGAACCAACCAAGAGGCTACTGCTCAACAAATACCTAGAAGGAAATGGAGATGGATCGGAAACACGCTAAGGTGAGATCACACGCCAGACCCTCGAGTGGAACTTGAATTGGAAACGACAAGTTCGCCGTCCGGGGGTGACACGGAGGAGATGAAAGCTTGTGGGTGATCGTGTGGGCAGATGAAGAGGACAGAAGAGAACATGACAAAATGGAGATATCTTGTTGAAGCCCTATGTCCCACTTGGAACCCAAGGGAGTAATAATAATGATATTTTTTTCCCTTCACGTTCCCAATGGAAAATAGGGCTTCAAGCGAGAGGCTTGAAGTTTCTGTAGCAGTGGTGTTTATTTTCACGGGATGAAGTTGCTAGCCTCATGCCCAACCTTTCCTCTTTACCAGCTTTACTTCTGGCTTGGCGAGGTAAAGGAATGCGTCGGCCGGGGATCGAACCCCGAGCGTCCTAATTGTTGTGCCACCGACGCAGTAATAATGATAATAATAAAAAATGATGTACATAAAGATAGATAATATTGAAACATGAAGACATATGTATCTAGACTGCTTCAACCGACTTAGAGCTATGTCATCTGGCTTATAATCATAGATTCCACTTGCCACTTTGGCTTCAACTAGAAAAACTATTCTTTCGAACACGTTTCAGATCTATCTACTCATCCCTATTTCCAGATCAGTAATTAGAGATTTATTAATTTTCGCGCCAACTTAATCTTTTTTACTAACCACTCAACATCCATAGCCCACAATGTTTATGTAACAGTTTCATCAAAAGTGGATAATATTACGGAAACGATAATGGCTAAACATAAGTTTCCAGAGGTCCTCTGAGTTTATTGATAGTTTGAATAAAGCAAGAACAACAGTTTTTGAAGAATAAAATGGTACCGTCATTTATTTCGTTGCCTTCTCATCAGCTGCTCACAGGCCAGTCATTATTAAGTATATCTACAGAAACAATTTTACCATACTTGCACAGAGTTTATTTTAAACAAAAAAACCAACCAATCAATATATGCATACAGTAAAAATAAATATAAAATAATATTGAACACTATTTCGAACAATAATGGTAATGCACAATGGAAACTTTCGACATTACGTAATCAGATGAAAGAGAGGTAAAAATATCCAGTTACCGGGGCAAAGAATGACTGATAACTGTTTATTTCTGAACGCACAAATCAGGTTTCAGCCGCCTGATGGAGATGGCTTCAGCAAACTTGAGAAGAATTAAGCTCTTTTGCTTATTGATAATTTTGAACGATTTTGCGATGTCCACCTCATGACTAGTGTCGAGGAGATGCCTAGCGATGGCACTATTTAAAGCATTTGTTCCCTTCAGACATAAGCTTTTTGGTACATGTTCCGAAAACCGCAGGTGTACCCTTCTTTCTGTTCTTCCAATGTAAGTGCTCCCGAGAGTCACTCCTTGTGCAAAGCACATTAGTTATTTTTTTAATTCAATTTGGACTTTGCCGTTGATTGATTGGAACGAAGTGCTCGGCCCCTGTTGACATGTTATCTTTTTGTGCAGTGGCTGTCGTGGCCCAAGTGGTCTAGTGGGTAACGCTTTGGTGTTTGAAATTATGGGTACTGGGTCCGAGCCTCAGTGGGGACACCTATCACTCACTGGTGAATACAGGTACGTCCAGCTGACGACTAGCCCCAGAAAGGACGAAACGAGCATCGTGAATTCCACCGCTAATCACCGTCCACCAAGTTACTTCAAGTTAAATCGTCACACATTGTCGAAGCATCTACACAACAGCGGCCGAGCACTTCAGTCCAATTAATCACCAATTTCTTAAAGAAACATCCATATACTTGATAGGCCTACAGCATAAAATTGGTGGTAACTGCGGCGATGCAAGTTGACTTCGTTTCAATTTTTCCTCACTTTCTTTCTCTACTTCTCACTGTTCATACAACTCAATCAAACCTGCTTCTCTTTGACTATACACTAACCACTAATAAACACTATGTAAGACTAAAAACGAAAACAATCAATAAAAACCACAAATAGCTGATTACCCAACACCACCTACCTGATAAGGAGTTGCGTGAATATGCAATGTAGGACAGGTAGATGATTTCAATAAAGACAGATAGTCATTTAAAACTGGCCATTGATGATGTATACCTGAATGTCCAGAATCTAACCAATAAACATGTGACAGATTTTTACAAAGTTCATCAGTTTCCCCAATGACAGTAGTTGTTATAAAATTACCGGATTTTTCTTTAGTACTACATAATAATAATGAATATTCATATATCAATTCAGTTAGCACACAACATCCTTTACTGAAACCAATCAATCGTATTGGAATATTAGACAATTGACAATTCCCGTCACAACATTCACCATCAGCCAACTGTTTAACAGCATTCAACAGTAAAGCGTTTAAATGTCTTATTGCTCTAAATTTGCATATTTCATCACTTTCAAACAATGGTATACCGGGTTTTGTAAACGGTAAAAAGTTAGGATAACATGCTATTGAACCATCAGCTATCCAATGTGAAGGTCGAATAATCCATATATGAGGATTACTACAATTAAATTGATTAGTGAATCGTTCATATAAAATTTGAGCAGTATTTTCCAAACTCCATTTAATATATTGACTACTGAAATTATTTTTGCGCATTGTTTGTTCGTAATCCTAGATTGTGTTGCAAAATAAAGAAAACATGTAAATACTGAGAGATGTGCCATAATAAACTGACTCAGAAATTGAATGCAAGTTCATATAATACTCATTTGAGTGGAAATTAATTATATAACCTGAACATTATACATTACAGTAGCTAGAATGTATCATCGGTAGACACGAAGTTATACAGTTAAATCAATCAGTGAGCCCTATAGCAACAAAACGGGCACAAATATCAATAAATACTGCAACAGGATAGTGTGAATACACTCCTGGACTAACAAGAAATCTGTAAGTAATAGGAGTGATATAACTGATATAATTACTTAGAAGTGGCTTAGAAAGTTAAAATTAAAGCTATAAATTACGTAATACTCAACGGCACAAAGGAAAAAAGGGCGTTAGAAATTTGATAAAGTTACGACTATTATTGAGTGAGATGAAAAATGTATTTGAGTGTCCATTTAACGAGTGTATTAAGAGGGTTTGAAAATGTACAAAGGCAACATACGAGAGTGATAATGGTGAATTAATTATTAAAGTAAAAGCAAAATAATCAAGAAAAAGAAGGATATGCACCAGTGATGCAATCGACGGGTAACTGGAGATACTCACACGACTCTTAGTCAAAAATGGATATCCTTCAAGATTCATCGAGGAAAATATGAAAGTAAAGTGAAAACCCGAAAGAACTCACACTTTGCCGAAGAAACTGCTATTCATGAACGTTGAATTCAAAGTGATACCGCAGCTGAGATTCTGAAGAACCGCTTATGCAGATCACTGAGAAAAGCTTTCTTTTCGGCTGAGCTAGGGATCAGTTTCTACGGCCAATAAATGATCAATGTATGTGTGAAGGATAAACTGCCGATTTTGGCCACTTCAATGTGTGTTTATAAATTCACCTGCTCGTGTGGAGCTAGTTATATTGGCCGCACAAAGCACGCGCTTTCCAAACACATCTCTAAACATTATCCGGCACGGCTGGCGAAAGGACAATGCAAGACAGTTACTAGCTCAATTCTCGAACACTTGGTGAACTCAAGCTACGCAGCTCCACCAGAGTCGTCTTTTAGGATTATCTACAAGGTGAGACCAAATGGTAAAAACTGCATCAGGTTTCGTCTTGTGTGTATGGCGGAGGCGCTGGCAACTCGTCAATACAACCCCGAACTCTGCATACGGAAGTTTGTTCAGTCTCTTATTCTACTATGGTCTTCACTAGTCGTTCCCTGTGAAACAAATTTTTTACCTTTTTATTTTCAATTTTCCTCTTAGTTTGCTTTTACTTTAATAATTATTTCACTATTATCACTCTGACATGTTCCTTTTGTACGTTTTCTCACCCTCTTCACACTTGTCTGATTGATACTCAACTCTATTTCTTCTCACTCAATAGCAATTCTAAGTGGTAGGAGGATCTCATCATGAGCTGACATCAGATAGAGGACCACTGGAAAACCTGGAAGTACTGGACAGCTGTTTCATCCTAATCTGTGACTCATCATCGGTACACACCCCCCGGGGTTCAAACCCAGGACCTTATGGTTACAAGGCGAGCTCGTATACCATTAAGCCACTGGGATCCGATCCAATGACCAGCCCATGAATTCTAACTTTTGCCAATACATGAACAGCGCGACCACTTCGCAATGTCTTCTTAGATGAGTTACTGCCTCACCTTCAACCCATGAAGTGGTCGTGCTATGTCATATCAACTCGTGATCAAACCTGTAACCAGTTAAATCCCTTCAAAACTAACACTTGAAAATGAGCTCACTTCATTCCAAAAGTGTTGTTCTCATTGTGCTATTCACTGTCGCACTCACTTTGATTGGACACTAGTCAGTAAGTAGTGTGATGTGTCTAGTTCTTTGTTTAGTGCAGACTGAATTCTATCAGTCAGGTATTTGCAATGCGGCCACCATTCAAGGTAGCTCGCCATCACGGTGCACATTGATTTGATGATATTAGATGGTTGGGGGCAATCGGTAGGAAGCCTTGGATCTAGGTTTCGTGCTTGTCGACACTCACCAGTCAGCAAAAGCGTATGTGCAACCTTGAAAGAACTCATATCCCTTCTGAGATTTGAATCCGTGTCACTCAGTTAGAACTGCACTCAGACACATTACCACTGAGCTATTCGGGCTCGCGACTGGCCTCCTGTAGGACTGTATTGGATACTTTGATTGGAAACTAGTAACTAGTGTAATGTGTCTAGTCCTTTCTTTGGTGCAGACTGAATTCTATCAGTTATGTTTGCAATGTGGCCACCATTCTAGGTAGCTCGCCATCACGGTGCACATTGATTTGATGATATTAGATGGTTGGGGGCAATTGGCAGGAAACCTTGCTTGAACCAGGTTTCGTGCTAGTTGGCACTCACCTCAGCAAGGGTGTCTGTAACCTTGAAGGAACTCGTGTCCCTTCTGAGATTCGAACCCGTTAACGTCTCCAGACACATTACACTGGTTACTAGTGTCCAGTCAAAGTATTCAATACAGTCCGACAGGAGGTCACTGATGTTATGTATGTGAATATGAGGACCTTGTAGACTACGAGCGAATCTAACTAATGCGCTGGCTAATCTGTCCTGATCGCACGTCAACAACAACAACAATAATACCGCCGGGCACGCAAGACAAATAAAAGAGAAGACTGGACGTTGATATGAGAGCTTTTACTGTCTCAAACAACAGTCGAAAATGTTAAACAACAACTCCGTATTTATACAATTAGAAAAATCAATGTCACATTTTAAAAATATTAACGACCTTGGGAATTCAGTAATTTAAATCAATAATCACGCAGATGCGTGAAATCAATGATTATGCTAGTGTGTGAAATAAATAATGAATATTAATGATTCACCTGCGTATATATTACAGTCCGACAGGAGGTCACTGACGAGCCCGAATAGCTCAGTGGTGACGTCTCTGAATGCAGCACTGGGTGACGCGGGTTCGAATCTCAGAAGGGACATGACTGGTGAGTGCCAACTAGTACGAAACCTAGGTCCAAGGGCTTTCTGCCGATTGCCTCCAACCATCTAATACAGTCAAAATTGTTAAATTATTTGTATGAAATTATTATTATTATACTGTTGCAGATAGGTACTTATTTGCTGAAGCCTTAGGAATTAAACTATCTGTGTCTGGAAAAAAAAAGGTCGAAAAAAATAGAAATAGGTTTTTGAGTGTATAATGACATTCTGTTAAGATCCAGATAATTAGTGACAACGTTGATTGTACCGAATTTCTTCTGAACCATTGAAGAAATGCAACATTTAACGTATATTCTATATTCTCAGTTAACTCACCGAACGTCGTCTCTCAATTAGCAGTGCAAAATATTAACTTGAACTAGCGTAAGTGTTAAGCAATTATAAGCTGTGCAAAATTTAAAATAAATACAATTTTTGTAATTGATTTGACTTTTAATAATTACCCACATTTCTTTCGTTAACTCAACAAACTATGAAAGTAACAGGAAACATGATGTTACATGCTTGACACGCTCAATATAAAAAAAGTAACAGTTACATGTCATATCTGCATTTTGTTACTAAAGCCAGGACATTAGGGAGAATATGAATCGTACCCCTATACCAATGGACTGACAATAGAATATGAAGATAATGTTGGAAAGAAAGCAACAAAACTAATCGAAAAAAATAATTATAGAGACAGTATGTGTCAACTACAAATTCGTTGAATTTTGATGAACTAAACAACCGTTCAATATACTCTTTAGAAAAACAAAAATAATTTATACCCAACTGATTGATCGTCCAAATAAAACGGTGACTATCTGAGAAATATCTTAAGACTTTTTATTAGTAGATAAGACAATTTATATATTGATATGATGAATACAATCACGATGGCTTCTATCTGTTTAGCATGTAACGAACATCAACAACAACTTTGAGTTAGTGAGAAGATTACTACGAAAGAAATATCCTGGCAAACGCTAATTTAGATGAAAAACCCTTTATGTAAACAAGAGGAAATGTAATCTGTCAGTTTGATCACGGATTGATAGCAGTTAGAAAATCATTAAAGGAGTATTGGATGGACAGCTGTTTTGTCCTAATTTGGGACTCATCATCAGTTTGATATCACCTCAGTTAATCAATGTAAAAGTGAATGACGAAACAAATACATGGAAAGTTCACACATATGGAATGCTTCAGTCAATTATTTTACTAATTCTTCATTCCCAAATATATTCACATGTAAACGACGATGATGGTCGCTGAAAGTGATGTTGATAATGAAAATACTAATTCCATAACATAAAGTAAATTCGGAGTAACACGAATCCTAAATACATACAAGGTTCTGTGAAAGAAAAAGCTATCAACTACACCTTTTATGCAAATGCTAACCTCCCAATGAACAATGACTGATTTCGAAATTCCAGTGGTGCAACCAATCAAGATCCAAAAAGCTCGAGCTGCTTTCGCTAACTTACACCATCTCTGGCGTAGGCGTGACATCCGGCTATCAACCAAGGGACGTGTGTACTGCTCAGCAGTTCGCGCCGTCCTTCTCTATGGCTCTGAAACATGGCCAGTACGAGTTGAAAACATGAAAAGGCTGACTGTTTTTGATCATAGATGTCTACGATCTATTTCTCACGTTAGGTGGCATAATAAGGTAAGTAATGTTGACGTTAGGCGTAGAGTGTTGGGAAAAGAGGGAAAATCAATCGAAGAGGCTATAAAGTTACATAGATTGAGATGGCTAGGTCGCCTGCTTCGCATGCCTAACCATCGCCTCCCCGACAGACATTACTAGCTGATATAGGTGCAGGTTGGAAAAGAGTAAGTGGTGGCGAAACAAAAACATGGCATCAATCCATGATATCCTGGACAGTTAAACTGAGTCAGGTAAGGAGATGCAGACTTCCGGGTTGGGACCCGCCCTCGGGACTCTAAGAATCAATGAAGGCTGGAGACAATAGGTGAAATGGCTCAAAATCGTTGTCAATGGCTTACGCAGATGTATTCAGTTTCTGTAATCTTTCATATTCCTTTCTACCATTACTCATTCTGTTTCAATCTTATACTTGTCAAAACTCTATTGATTCTCTTCACTCATTTTGTTGTCTACCTTTGTGTGCTATTTGGAAGGTGGCAACTCGAAGTGCTGCACTTCGGTGCCGAGTTCTATGTTGAATCCAGCCAGCAGCAACCAATCAATATTAGAAATGAATCAGTCGAATAACAACAATAAGTCCAAAACTCATTGGTAATTGATGTGAGTATTTTAAATGCGGGGAGGGGGGGAGGCGGTCAAAACCATTTTTATTCTTGATTAACTAGAAGAGTGGGAAATTAGTTATTTTTAAACGTTGAGAGGAATAAATATACGCAGTTAATGTCAGTAAAAAGTTTAAGCATTGTAGATTAGATCAAATAAATTATATTTCAATAGTTTACACACAATGATAAGTTTTTTGTTTCGGTAATATTTCGAGCCTGTGATCACACCAACTTTTGGAATTGTTTTGTCTTTAATTCACACTTTTATGATTTGTACTCATTTATACATAAATAGTTCTTTTTTTTTGTCCATTCATTTTTGTGTATCAAGAATTATATTTCAGGTTGTTGACAGTTGTGTTGAGTCACCCTTGTTACATATATCAGGCGTAACCTTAATGAATATAGATTCTGTAATCAGTCTCTCCCTCCATTTGTTCATATTAGATTTCAGAATACAAACATTGTTCCAATCAATATCGTGATTTTTGTCCCATGCATGTACAGCTTTAGACGAATTTATTCTAAATTGTTGTAAGCTGTGGGATGATGTTTAGTTAGGCGTTTATGTTCATTCACTCTTATTTTGAGTGATCTGCACGTTTGACCCACATTTAACCGGACATTCGGCACAAGATATTTTGTAAATTACATTATTTTTAAAAGTCAATGTGAACGAAGAATATTCTTTTCAATAATTTCTCTTCAGGTTCTTACAGTTATAAAATATAGTATTTGTTGTTGTTACAATAATGGCCAGTTATGAGGCGGATACATTTTTTACGTAGAATAACAGATTACTTATGGGGTGTCAAAATAAATGGTCGTATTTGTGTAATAAATGTGCTAGGCTGAAATCGATCACAAATTATTGTGAAGTGGGAGACAGTGGTGGTGATTAGTCGTCATAGATTCGTAGAATGTGGAAAAATTGACAAGTCAGTTCAAGGTTATACGGTGTCAGGTGAGTGGCTAGTACGAAATAGTATGTATTAGAGAGGAGATAGTAAGACTGCAATGAGAGGTTCATAATGAAATAACGAATATGTGAAATAAAACAGGTGGAGGCACATAATGAGAAAAAAGATAATATCACTAATTTTAAGTCCGGATAGTATAGGTTTATAAATTCGATAGTATTGAGAGAATGTTTGCATGAAGGGTATAAATTATGACGAATAATAGTAATTGTAATAAAAACCAAAGGAAAAAAAACCAAGAGGGTTAAGGGGAAGAAGCAATCTTGCTGAGCAGAAGAATCATTAATCCAAGTTCAGCTATGTGTAGGAGACGTAAGCGAACTGTACGTGATAACGACTTAGGAATTCGGTAGACAACCCTGAAAGCTGTGTTGGCGTCGATGTGATGTCCAGTATCGACCAAGTGTAACAGGATAGAGCCTTTTATGCGCTTAATTTCCCCGTTGCTGAACCAAATTGGTATATGTTCTCGAACCCGTAGACGAACCTGTCTAATCGTGTGCCCTATATAACTTGAACCATAGGAACATTTGAAATGATATATGCATGAAGAAGAACTAAGGTTAGGTAAGACATCTTTGAGTTGCTGGGTGAACATTTGGCGGCTACTGAAGGATAGACACAGACGTGCAGAGTAGGAAGTTTTCTTTATCGCCCTGGTTAAACGTTGTGATAGAATCCTACCCCACATTCTACGAATCTATGATGACTAATCACCACGATTGTCTCCCATTTCACAATATTTTGTAATCGATTTCAGCCTAGCACGTTTATCACGCAGATACTATTTTTTTTGACACCCCATAACTGTAAGAATCTGAAGAGAAATTATTGAAAAGAATATTCTTCGTTCAGATAGACTTTTAATTCATGATATGGGAATATTTCACACTATTAAATACATTATTTCTATCCATCATTTTTATGGGATCTTTCAGTTGATTCATTTTATTTTTAATCAGATTCGTTGGTCTAGACGTGATGCGAATCCGATTATTTTTGAGGTTTCTTCGAAATGCCTCTGATGTACCACTTTTGTATGCTATTGTGATCTTTCTTTTACCGTCCTCCTTCTTTTCATTATCTGGTTTAACCATCTTTTTTCTCTTCTTTATATTATCTCTGATAAATTCTTTTGGGTAGTTGTTGTCGGGTAACACTTAGAATAGGACGTTTACTTCTTTACGCTGGTCCTCTAGTGTTGTTGCAAGCATACGTATTCTGTTTGCAAGGCCTTGTGTATTAATCCTCAATTTTTCGTGAATGGATGAGCTGAGTGATAATCAAGGAATCTTCCAGAATGTGTAGTTTTCCCATATAGCGTCGTTTTTACGCTGCCAACTCATTGCACATTTTATGCTATAAACTATTGCTCACTTTTTGCTACTATTCGAAAATTGCGACTTCAGCATATATGCACACTTGTGTCATTCTAAGCGATTATTCAGTTTTGCGAACAATATACCCGACTTAATACGTAATAATAAGATAGATGCCCCTTATATCAGTTACAAATCAGTAAGTGTTTTTTGTTCACAGATGTTAGAAAAATTGAAATTTTATTTCAGGACTTCATCATGAGCTGAAATCGTTTAGAGAACTGATGAAAAACCTGGGAGTACTGGATAGCTGTTTCGTCCACCTAGTTTGGGACTCTTCACAGCACGCACTAATGATTCTCTAATTGATGTCAGCTCATGATAAAATCCTGAAGCCAACCAATCAAATCCCTGCAAACCAACAATCAAATTTTATTATTTCAATTATTCATAAGAACTCTTACTTGTACATCTCCACCGAAATAAACCAAATTTACAGTTGGACATATTTTGTTCCCAAGAAAGATCACATCGTTACACTTATTGAGAAAGCCAGCACAATCTTTAATTTCACGCCTTATCCAACAACACATTCGGGGACTAGTGTTTGGTTAAATTATAATCTGAAAAGGAATATGAAGTCTTATAAATGATATTAGAAGAAAAAAAACAGACAGTAAACAAATTATTTCAAAAATAACAACGCTCTAATATCCTTTTTTCTTTCTTTCAATCATGATAACATTTTATTAAATTGAATATTCCCATAATTAATTCAGAACAAAATATTTAGAGCGAACAATTGTGGTTTCAATAAATTCTTCTTCAGGCTCTACATTTATAAATCCATTAATTTAAGCATACAATAGCCAGTAAAGGCAGATTAGAATCATATCAGAAAGTGTATTGTGGAACAAATATAAGATGGGATGGAACAATAGTCATATAGTTTTTTAATATGCATGGTCAATGAGAACATAGGACAAAATCAGATGAAGTAATTTAATTTAATGATGTGTGTATATATATAAATATAGTCAACAGAAATACAGGTTTCGAGAGTGTGTGTAATCAGGGTGTGTGAGACAATATGAAAATAGACCAACGAATGGGGCCGACTAGACATAAGTTCAAGGTTGAAAATAACGACAGTAAGAATGATTGTAAAATAATAATAATGAAGTGGAATGAATAGGATTTTGTAAATAAAAATGGATATCCACAGAGCTTCCTAAAAATGTATATGTCAATACCTGCAGACAAGGTAAAGGTGGATACCGTAGAAAAGAAACCTTTGTATCTTAAGTTAAGTTACAAAGGGGAAATTGCAGCTGACATTCTAAAATGTCGACTTAATAGAGCAGTAGATAGAACATTTCCTGCAGCTAAACTGGTACTCAACTTCTCAACTAAACCAGTACTCACACAGCAAGTAAAGGATAAATTACCACAGATGGTCTCATCAATGTGCATCTATGAATTTAACTGCTCATGTGGAGCTAGTTACATTGGCCGTACTCAGAGGGCTTTATCCATGCGCGCACGTGAACATGTACCTGTATGGTTCAGTAAAGGAGTAACCAAGTGTGTAAATAGTGCAGTCTTAGCTCACCTGGTAGATACTGGACACCAGATAAAACTTGACCAGGCGTTCTCAGTTATTTACCGCGTTCCTAGTAATTTATCTAGAGGAGCTCGACTGCGTCTTCTATCAGTAGCTGAAGCGGTGGCAATTAATACCAGAAGACCATCTCTTTGCACACAGAAGAAGTATGTTCAAACATTATGTTTACCTTGGCCTACAATAAAGCCAACAAATCCTCCATTAACACTATAAATTCCTTTCACAATTTTCTTTTCTTTTCTTCTTCTTATATTCCTCTGTTTCATTGACAATCGTTCATTTTCGACCTTTATGATTTCATGACCTTTCTTATGATTTTATTACTTTGCTATCGTATTTACAAAATCCTATTCATTCCACTTCATTATTATTATTTTACAATCATTCTTACTGTCGTTATTTTCAACCTTGAACTTATGTCTAGTCCGCCCCATTCGTTGGTCTATTTTCATATTGTCTCACACACCCTGATTACACACACTCTCGAAACCTGTATTTCTGTTGACTATATTTATATATATACACACATCATTAAATTAAATTACTTCATCTGATTTTGTCCTATGTTCTCATTGACCATGCATATTAAAAAACTATATGACTATTGTTCCATCCCATCTTATATTTGTTCCACAATACACTTTCTGATATGATTCTAATCTGCCTTTACTGGCTATTGTATGCTTAAATTAATGGATTTATAAATGTAGAGCCTGAAGAAGAATTTATTGAAACCACAATTGTTCGCTCTAAATATTTTGTTCTGAATAACATTTTATGTTAACTCTCACATTACTAATAGACGAAGATAAACACAAGTAGGATGGATGCTACTAACGAGAATTTATAAGCAAAATATTTTATGTGGTGTCTTGTACAAGAAAGAGTCTTGAACAGTGGAGTAAGAAATTACTTTGCAAAGAGGAGAAATAAAAGACTCCTGTGAAAGAACAAAGAAAGCATGCATTTTTTAATTTTTGATTACAGCTTGATTCCACACCGTGTTTTTTTTTCGGTACAGGTATGGAATTTTCAGCATGTGATATCGGTAGCCCAAATTTTGCTGGCCGACCATAGATATCAGGTGTGCGTCGGCAGGGCATCGAACCCTGCACTATGTGCATGGTCGGCGAGAGTCCTAACCACTGTACCACTGAAAGAGAAACAAAATGTGAGCAGATTATGCGACTACCTTGTGCATATTGGAAATTCCAATGTAAGATTTCTGTATTTTGCCAAATAAATAATTCTAATACAAAATATTACCGCGTTCTGCCGCTACACAATGACTGCACATTTTAATATTTTGAAAAGACTGAAGTTTGGCCTAATTATATCATCTGAAAATCTTCTAAAAACAAATTGACAGAATATTGATTGTGGTGAAATTGTGAAGCATCAAAATGGATATCGCATCTAACAGCGTCATTCATCTAACATAAGACATTGTAGTATAATGTTTTAAAGCATATAGACACCCAAAGCATAGTTCCGGATAATTCGTCGAAAGTAATACTTATTTGACGAAATACAATTATCGACCATTAGTCACACATGAAGCAGCTATAACGCCTGGTACGACTTTAAAGTATCATCATATTAGACAGAAACTGTTCTACAGTTAATAGGTACTTTTCTTGCTGAAGTTTTTACGGCATGCTTTCTTCGATATCGTGTAATGTGTTTGGTTGCGAGTAATGCTAAGCAAACATACACACACAAGCGCACACGTGTGTTTTCACAAACTAGGTACAAATGACAACGACCTTGTTTAGAGAAATATACATTCTTTAAACTATTTGGTTTAAATACTTGATTGTAAACCGAGAGTATGTAGTTTAATATGCTTTAATATGCGGAGTTTCTTCCGATCTTCTGCATTTTTGCATGAGTTCGTATTATTAATAAGCCATACACATGAGGTATCAATAAGACTTCAAGCTTTCCAATTTGAAGTTTCAGTAGCAATGTCGTTTTTACAGGGTGGGTTGCAAGCATCACACCACACTTCACTTTTTTCTGGACCCACTACCCATTAATCCGGATTTAGGAGTGTGTCGGTCGAAGATCTAACCCTAACCAAGAGCGTTGTCAGCGAGAATTCTACTGGTGAACCGCTGAAGCACACTGCATACATATGTAGAGGCAGAAGGTAAAGCGGATTACTAGTAGTTATTAACGTCTCTTAATACTGTCTTCTAGAATAACGGTTCAATGCAGCTTATTGTTTCGATATTGTGGTTCAGTATATTCGTTGGAGTCACTGAGTTAAGCTAATTTATTTGATATAGCTGCTTATAAAGCTGAAAAAGCTGCCAGGAAGATTTTCTGGAAGGTAGGAAGATGAGTTGTAATTAGTGTGGTGGTGGTGGTGGTGATAGTGTTAATGCAAAGTATTATGATGGTGTTCTGAGAAAGCTATATAAAGAAGAAGTGAACGCCATAGAGTATGCTTTCCTCCACCGTAGAAATCACAGACACTTCTTCCCACTTAGGATAGTCTGTCTGTCTGGATTCAACATAGAACTCGGCACCGAAGTCCAGCAGTTCCAGTTGCCACGTTCCAAATAGCACACAAACGTAGACAACAAAATGAGTGAAGAGAATCAATAGAGTTTTGACAGGTATAAGAGTGAAACAGAATGAGTAATGGTAGAAAGAAATATGAAAGATTACAGAGACTGAATACATCTGCGTAAGCCATTGACAACGATTTTGAGCCATGTCACCTATTGTCTCCAGCCATTGATTCTTAGAGTCCCGAGGGCGGGCCCCAACCCGGAAGTCTGCATCTCCATCCCTACCTGACTCAGTTTAACTGTCAGGGATTTCATGGATTGATGAGGCCATGTTTTTGCTTGGCCACCACTTACTCTTTTCCAACCTGCACCTATATCAGCAAGTAGTGCCCGTCAGGGGAGGCGATGGTTAGGCATGCGAAGCACGTGACCTAGCCATCTCAATCTATGTAACTTTATAGCCTCTTCGATTGATTTTCCTTCTTTTCCCAACACTCTACGCCTAACGTCAACATTATTTACCTTATTATGCCACCTAACGTGAGAAATAGATCGTAGACATCTATGATCAAAAACAGTCAACCTTTTCACTTAGGGTAGCAGTCATAAATAGTTGGCTAGAAAAACGCTACACTTTAGTTTACCATAAAGCTTTTATGATAAAGCTGATAAGCTTTTAGTAACGGATGAAAACGTTCAGATCTATTACTAACTAACCTAAAAATAAAGACTTCTGATATAATATTATTGTCAGGAAACAAATGTAACTAAACGCTTGTTTAGCGGAGGTAACAACTTAAAGCAATATAACAAGGTCGTAGTAATCTAAAAGATAAAACAAACAAAGAGGTAAGATGTTATGAACAAGATAAATATACAGCATGAATTCATCCGCGTCACTGCTATCATCTTTGAGACATATTACCTACAGTTTTATATCAAAGGTCCAACGACACAACTGGGCACTCTTTCCTTCGCTTCATGGCTGGAACTAATAATCAATAATTCTATAATATATTGGTATGTCTTAGCTTGACTGTGCTGAAGCCTCTGGATTATTAGCCAACAATGTATTGCCTGGACTAGGTCGTCAAAAGACTGGACAACGAGTATCGTTTTCCAAAAGATTTCAAAAATTCTCACGTTCACGCCATATAAAGAGGACATTAACAGACAAAAGATGATCGGTTTAATCAAACCGATGGTTTTAACCATCATTACGTAAACAGGAGATAAAAGGAGTAAACTCTAAGGAGGGAAATTTCCCACAAACACCTCACTTAGCTACATGTACCTATTCGAACTGTTGACTTCTTTGTAGCATTCAGTTGTAGAGAAATTTCCTAATGCGATACGTATGACTACAGATACCGTCCATGTTTGCGGTTTTTAACGATTGCACAATGATTCTGATCTGAACAATATGAAGGAATTCTCTTGATTCAATAAAATGTTGAGAGATAATTGTTACGAGCCAGCCAGAAGCCAGGTACATATTTTTGTGCAGCTGACAAAACAACTCACTACTTTGTGAAGGTCGGCGATAACTCACTACATACATTTCCATGTGAAATAAGTTGTGAAAACAAGAACTACTAGATGAAATTCTGTTTTCTGAGTCAATCAGATATGACCAAAATTGTTCACGATAAGATAGGAGTATTCACGTTTTCTGTCCCTCGTAATTTCGGACATTCATTAACATATGTGTTCTCATTCCCTCTCTTTTCATTACGGCCTTTATTTCATTTCGGTTTTCATTTTCGGTTTTGTCATAAATTATAATGAAGACTAGAATAATGACTTCTGACACATAAGTTTTTCTGCAAATAATTGTTGAACAGGTTATCCCAAGAAGTGTGAAAGCCCGACTTAAATACTTCCAACGACTTCTTATACTCGTCAGTCGACACAACGGTGAGAGCTGCTCTGATGGAAACTCGAGTGAGCTGTAAATTTCATATAGGCATCTGGCTGAGTTTTCAACATAGAACTTTACACAAACGTGGAACAATTCGAATCACCACACTTCATGTAGCACACAGAAAGGCAAAGAAAAAAAAGAAATGTATAGAAACTGTAATAAACGAAAGTGTGTTGGAGAATGAGTACATAGAGGGAAGTTCATAAAGCACAAATGCATGTGCATGAGAGAGAACGATTTCGAGATATGTCACCAACAGCCTCTCACAATTAGTTTCAAGCCTTTTGTGAACCTTAACCGAGCAGTCTGCACCTTCCTACGTGGGTCAAACTAACTACCAGAAATTTCATGAAAAATAGCCACCATTATTAGAGAATAATAAGCTCAGTTTGACTAACAGTATTGAAATTTAAGACTCATGCAATATTATAAAAGGAGTGATGAAATAAAGCGATGTTGGCCGATACGCCAACAAGTTCCTATGGTGAGTAAGCGTGATTGCATGTGCTCATCGTGTGATGCTACCATTAACAAAATTATCGCACTAAAAGCTTTCAATATCCAAGTGCCATAAGGTCCTTCAACCAATGAGACTCATCCATAGACCACTTAAAATGCAATCGCTTTTATCATGGCTAGTAATGGAGGAGTCCCAAAAATCAAATGTTATGAAAAAAAACTGTGCGCTCATGGAATATTCAGCATTAGATTTCGTTTCAAATCCATTCCAAGTGGAATATAAGGCTTCATGGTTTAGTAGCGATTGTGTTGTTATTTTTACTGTGCAAGGTTGCTTCTTTCATACCTAATCCTCCCTCTTTTCGAGGCTTACAAACGGTTAGGTGAGGCTTAGGAATGCATGGACCAGGATTCGAAACCATACGTCTAGCATGGTTGGATAGCATTCTAACAGTGAACCACTAACGCCTATCATTGGATTACTCGACCCACAATTCCCCACATCACATAAAGGAAATACTCAGATACTTGTCTATTTGAAATACCGTAACGCAAGATTTACATAAATCGCCGATAAATGTTGATAAGTAGACACTATCAGTGGATGAGCCGTAGATACTGTCTGTTGTTGTTACCGGAAGATTCTATCCAAAAGATGGAAAAATAATTAGTGGCCAACTAGACTTCAGAATAATCATTATTAAGAGACAGAGATCATCCATCCAATAAGTAGGTCAAGTCAAACAAATACAAGAAAAATTAACATTAGTTAGTGGATCAGCTAGAGAAAGCAGAAACGCCGTGTCCACACCGAACCATGAGGCCTAGTTCCCCGACGTTGGGACACCTCCTGCAATGTATCTGCCGTCCACCCCAATCCATACGGTGGCTCAGCTAGCACTTTCCTTTGGTCCACTGCAGGCATCTCGAGGCAGAAAACTTAGAGCGTATTGCAGAAAGCGGGACAGATGTCTGCCACAGTGTCTGAAGTGGATTCTGACTACTCGCCTACGGTTATGCAGCAGACCCTAAGTCTGTAGCCACACTTATGACATACTGAATATGTCCACAGCTTGTCACAACAAACAACATACTTCTGTCAACTCAAAGACCAAGGACAATAAAAAACCGTTGAATTTTAAAAAACATCTATTTACTACTAATAAAAATGTATTTACAATGTGAGGACACTACGTACGAGTCAAAAGTCATTTGAATCAAATGAAGTACTCAGCCTTGTACTGTCTGCAAACTGCATGTTCTCTTTGTTTTGATCACCGATGGCCTGAAAATAAGTAAAATGGAAAATGTAAACATACCAATGGAGACCACCGTCGTTTCCTCGTTCTTTTTTTGAGTCGGTCACGACTGTTGTGGAACCACCGTTGAATGGATACATTGATGCTGCCTACTGTGGTCTGTCTATCAGCACTGCTTCGCTGGTGGTGACTGTTTATGGTTTCTGTAAACTACAATGAAATCAAAATTCACTTACGAACTATAAGGTTGCAAATCTTCGTGTGTTTGAATGCCCTTTCCTGCTTGGCAGCCGCTCATGAAAAGTGAGTGTTGTATGTGGGCTCCAGCAGTACACATTCATGATACGACCAACTGAATTTTGGACACTCTAGTCAACCAAAGTCCCAAGGTCGGCCGACACATCACGTCGATATTCTTCGTCGGATAATTTCGTCTCGAAGGATGACATGACGGCGTCGCTGTCCAACTGCCATCTGCCTGAAAACTTCAAAACCACGACTGAGTTCATTCCAAAGACATCTCCGTCAATGCAGTCAGCCGATTAGAGTCGTGCCAGCTTAGCTTCACTCGTAGCGAGGCGTAATTGAAAAGACTAGAGGCGTGACAATATAGCCTTGAAGCGTGCTGAGCAACCACATCTGGAGTCATCTGTCTCCGCATTCCTTGCACACCAAATAATAGTTGCAATGAAATGTAACTTACATATTAACTGGTGCTACACTAGAAGTCGTCAACGTGCAGTCAAACGCAGAGAAGCTGAAATGTGATTATTCAAATGAACTTAAATTTACCTATCATCCGTGTGGAAATTTTGTAGCTCTCGCAACCTGGGTGTATCGAAGCGCGAAGATTTTTCACTGTATTTGGTTCTGGAAAGTTCAGTATCGCCTCAGATTCACTGGCCAGTGGACGGATATCCTTGCAGTCAGTGGGGTGGCCAAGAAAGTCGAGTGATTCTACCTCTATCCGATACTACCAATATTAGTATTTACACCATGTAGGCATAACCTGTCGAATGCCAAGTCCAAGTGTCTAAGGTGAGTTCCCTTGTCTGGAGTGGCAATGAGGCAGTCATCTAAGTATGCGTACACAACGTCGAGACCACGAAATACTTCGTCAATGAAGCTTTGGAATGTTTGTGCTGCACTCCGGAGGCCGACTAACATTTATAGAAATTCAAAACGTCTGAAAGCCGTTTTCGGAATATCTTCTGGTGCCATCGGGACTTAGCCAGATGCTTTAACCGGGTCTATTTTCGGGAAAATAGTTGCACCAGATAATGTTGCTATCAAGTAGTTTATGTGAGGCAGTGGGTGGGAATAATACGAAGTACGTTGAACGTTTGTGGAGTCCTCAAAACAAAAAATAAACTTATCCAAATTTTACTACTATGTAAGAAATGAACATATTGTACACTACTTTGTTTTAACCATAAACTCTGTACTTTAAAATTTTACCTCGGGTTTTGAATGAATATATAATTCTGCCTTCGACTCTCCGTCTTCTCCACCATCTCAACTGCCGTCGAACAATTTTAACCACCTGCTTTCTATCTCGAATTTTTGCAGGAGCACCGTAGTTTCTTCCTACGTACTTTGGTCGACCTCCGGCAACGTCAACATTGGAGAATTAGTACTGGAGCAGTCTTCCCGCAGCACCTGGAGTCTATTACGTTTATTGTGGACTTTGGATCTTTGTAAACCCAAGTAACGAAACTTTAATGTATTCTTCCCGTAACTAAACTGATTTGGTATTTTATTTTCTATTTGAATTTGGGTTACTAAGCTAACAGAGTAAAAGGTCAACCACACGATTGCCTTACATTTTTGCGTGATTCGTTACGTAAAATTATTTTGTTGTAATCCTTGCACAAGTACTCTACTTCCTCCATACCTATAACCATTAACTCTTATATCAAATCGTTATGGTTAATCAAAGTAAAAAGCAACGAACTCAATCCCCTGTAAATCTGATGACTAATTTTACGTCGTTGATTGCTACATCAAGCAACACACTCCCTACAAACAGTTACAGTGAGCCACATAACTCACTTGTATGTCGTAAGCGTCGAACTGAAACTGAGTACAGAACTGTACTGACAGCTAGTATTAGCACTACTCCTAAAAATTTAGTACTCTTTGCTCATACAAAACCCCTCCCTACACCTTACATGCTTATCGAAAAACTCCAGCCTTCAAGCTCTCTTTCAGTACTGTCTTCAGAAATAGAACTTCTAAAGTTGTTCATAGGAGAACTTAAGACCGAGTTAAGGGAAATAAAAAACAATAAGTCAGTAAATCCTGGAATTTCTGGAACCAATACCAAAATATCCAAATTATCAGATCAGATCAGCGATATCAGATCGCAGGTCTGTGAACTGACACCTCTTACTATCCTCATGAAAACTGTAAACCTTAACAAACTTGACACAGAATCGGTAACTAAGGTAGATAACCTCATTAACTTTGTTACTGCAGAAGTAACAAAACGACTCGACGCTAAACTAAGTGCTATTGTCTACAACGTTGCG